TGGAGTTTGCGGCTACCCTAGCCTTACCCCAGGGAAATTACCGATTAGTTTCAGGTAAACAGAGCGATTTCCCACATTGTCTTACCGTTGTGTGTCTGGTATCCTAATTCCACTGGTTATATATACACAGCTGATGAGAAGACGCGAAATATCTGAATTCAGATTATTCTGTTGAAATGTAATTTTTGCTTGCTATTTTGGTTTGTAAAGGGAAATGCCTGTATGTATTATGGGTTTTCTCTGAACTATAAGGGTTACGGTCGAGTTTTTCACTCCCCATGTTTGCTTTCAGGAAACACTCAAGTAAGCTTTTTCTCTCAGCGTCTAACGTGTGTGCTTCATTCTTTTGGAAGCTTTTCGTTCGAGCGAATTCTTTCTACTCACCTCATTAGACAGAGGATTACATTCTATTTTAATTTCAGTAGTACGCGACTGTGGAAGCTCTGTTATCGTCCATTCCACTTGTGTTTCCTACACACGTGACCTAGTAACATGACACATTCGAGTCGTTTCATTGCCACCTCGAGGAAGTGAAAGGTACCATTTACCTCTACTTCGGATGTGAACTTCAGCACTTCATGCGCCTGGTTGAATTCAATGATAAGATCCTCGACTGTTTAAAAGTGTTGAAGCAGGACAAAATGGTAGTAAGCATAACGGCGTTAAAGAGAGGTATGTGATGGCCGATTTCAACTAACTTTTTTCGAACATCTCCGTGAATACGTCAGCGAGAAACGATCCTGGTAGAGAGCCCATGGTAACTCCATCATGCTGCCTTGACGGTTCACTGTTAAACAGAAGCATTGTGTTGAAAGTGTACCGAAGCAGCAGTTTGTTTAGGATCACCGTAAGTATACCAATAGCCAACTGGTTTTCATCGACATAATCACACATGTAATTTATATTTTCAAATAATGGAACATTTATAAAAAGTGAATCCACATCAATAGAGCACAAGGTGAGGTCCGTGACATTCAGATCATGCACGGTATCCACAAAATCAAAACTGTCCTTACTGCTGTGCACAGCAACTCGTTTTCGAATAAGTTTCATATGCTCTACCAAACACCATGCAGTAGAGTGGTACGGTGAGTTCTTCCTATCTACGACGGGTCGTACGGGGATGTCAGGATTATGCGTTTTAGGAAGACTATACAGTTTAGGCATTGCAGTGTCTTTAGGACGTAGATTTTCACATATATTCTCACTGGTATAGCCACCGTCCCTAATTATTTTTGAGACAGTTGCTCTGGCTCGCCATGGATGAAGATCAGGTCTGTAAAGTCCTACTTGCTTTATTCTTATGCAATGTTTCTTTTCGATTATTGCCCACTCCATAGCGCGTCAGGATGGCTATGTATCCCAACTGACCAGTGTTGTAGCTCTTTTAGCATCGGTCCGTTAAAGCGAGCAAAGTTCCGGTGAGGAGTAATTCCTGTTGGGTATGTGGCTTCGAATTTGACGTTCGTCCAAATGAATCATGAGTTCCATTAGTCTTGGTCTTCAACAATTTACCACTTGATGTGACGGCGGTAGATTCAGGGACAATTGTGCACACAACAGTCGGGGAGTTATTGCTGTATCAATTTTCGTTGAGTTGCAAGGTTCCGCGGTCACTGGTCCTGACTCTCATCCAAGTAAGCATTGTCTACTGTTTGGCTCTCTATTTGTATTAGCCGTGTTTGTAACAGAAGCCTTCGCAAGATTGACATCCTTGATGTACTTTGCAGCGGCCTCTGCATATGTGACTGATGTCCCGAGGGACCTGAGCTCGGCAAGTAAACTATGGGCTGCAGCTGCAGAACGCTGGTGTTCCGCTGCCTCACGTTTGCTAATCACATAAATCATTAAAATTGGCGAAATTTGATCGATCACACGTTGCGGGTGGTGCTTGATTTTCGTGGTCCTGAGTACCGTTTGCTTATCAGAGTTGCGGTCTACTTTCACCTGACGTTCAACCAAAGTTGGAGGAGACAACGATGATGGGGACATGTTGACCTTGGTTCTTGGGTAACAACTCGTACACCATTCATTTGCTTAGAGGCCACCACGCTTCCTGGCACATACCCGCTTCCAGGGAAGTAATCCTAGCCTTTATCTGTTTTTCGGTATCTGCTCTTAATCGGTCACACTGCTAGATTAAGATAAGCCTACGACAACTAACCAAAGACGTCTGGGGAGTTATTTCACTCACATACCTAGCGCTGTGATAAATTACAACACTAGGATTATACCATTTGGAACAGTGCGCACAAGCCCATCCTAACTTGACTACCCGATTAGATTCTCCTGACGCACAGACACGTTTCCCCCGGAGACATTTTGGATTTGCATTTACTTGTTTTCTGCCAAGCAGCGTAATGTCATTATCTGACCCAACGGGTCAGTTGATGTTCTGTACTTTCACAACTTTGGTCGATGCGCACATCAGTCAGACAAGCGTTGTGGTTACCAAAGACAAATGAGCGCGGACTGGCAGTAGATGTGACTTCACTGTTAGTGTGGGTTACGTTGACGCACTGGCTCACAAGGACACAAAGGAGGACGAGTGACTTCGGGTTAACAATCAATTCCGATTGAATTCTGAGTAAACAGTAAAGTGCCGCAAAATGCAAGTCGGTGACGACAAATAGTATTGGGGAAGCACCATTTCCGGTCAAATCATTCGCATCAAGATAGCTCTTTCGAATGAGTTTACAAATCCAATGCGTATTTAAATGTTGGGGTGTTGCATGCGTGTGTCTCAGCGACAGATCCGGCCGAAACATAGATGGGAATCAGAGGTTGCAACGATAAGAACAATGCAAGTATGATTGACCCCCTTAAGGTGTTTATAAATCCGACTCCAATTAATGTACGTACACTGGTGAGTACCAAATTGGTGAGAAATGGACCAAAGAAGGGAGGACGACAAATTGGTGCGACCACGTGCCTGGTATCAGCAGATGTCATCTCATGACTTACACTGACACTCTGCACCCAACCCTAAAGTGCATGTTTCGGTTTCATGATCGACATGAGTGAGATAACCTAAGGAAGTTATCGCAGAACTAAGCCTTTCTCGTACTGGAGAGTCATAATTTCGGAACAGTGCCCATTTCATTATTCTAAAACGAGACGTGTCCTAGAGCGCGCAACTTCCATTACTCAGTTGCCGCAAAAACGCATTTGTTACAAGTGTCGTTTTCCACACATTTTGTTACGGTATTGGGTGAAAACTCGATCTACATCTTGAAGGATTGTCCCAGACTACTCCTATCTAGAGAATTCATTAAACTTACCATTTTTAATAAACAATCTGTACGTGAGCGTCTTCCTTTGGCTCCTGTAGACTGTTTTTATCATTTTTGGTTTGAATTAGGGCTTAAGCCTTATAGAAAAACTCAGATAAGTAGATAAAGATGTGGTTTCGCTGTTGCTCGTTACGAGCACTACAATTCACCGTCCGTACCGCTCTTATTTCGGGTCTTTATTTAGAGATGACTGGAGCGATAGCAAGTTTTGCTTCGCTTTGTGATCCTTGATGTTGGCTCGATGCCTAGTCAGACCCCCTCGTAATGGCCGGTAGACATAAAGCCCGGATTAACAGGAGGAACAAGGCAGTACGCGCACAGTGACAGAACGTGCGTTTGTCGTCCGTTGTATCGTCGAGAATCCCCAGCTTGTATGAATGAATGGTATATTTGTAAATGATCATACCACACAGTCTGGCTCCCTCATCCAACAATGCAGCATAACATTTAAGGGAACACCAGATCAGTGTCTAAAAATGCATTGTACGTATAGCATAGATTACCATACTGAGGCAACTGGGTTTACCGTATTGCTCATCGAGGTCAGCGATTTGAGTGTTCAGCATAATCACTTCTTTCGCAAGCCTTTATTAAATGTTCAACTTCATATTATTTGGTTTGACTGTGGATCAAGGATAATGTCCTGACACTGTGTTAATGCAGTATCGAACCATTCTTAATC